CCCCAGTTTCATCTTTCACGTCAGTATTTCGACTTTTAATTGCGTTTCGCTCCAGCCATCTATGTAACTCGTACTGACAAAAATACCACTTACTCAATATGACCTTTTCCGTTGCTTTCCTGTGCTCGTGTAAGGTCAGATATGTTCCCAAGAAATGTTGCATTAAAAGTCCTTTCTTATGTTTATTGTTCCTTTAATGCAGTTATTCGAATTCTGCTATCCATGGAGGACTTAGTTTCATATTGAATAATAACTTGAAATCAGGAAGGGATTTTCGTGGCTCTCAGAGTATTGTTCGTGTGAATAAATTTTCACAAGCTTAGCAATAACGCGAATTCATGTCTATAACAACATTTAATGAGCACCGGGACACAAGACGACGGACATGGGATAAACGAAGTAAATTAGAAGAAACTCCTAGCATGCATTTCGAGGGCTTTAAGAAGACAACTCTGATTGGGCTTCAAAATAAGAGCGGTCCTTTTCGACACCAAAATAAGCCGTTTTTGAGTACAAAACAAAGGAATAAGCCTTTGACATAGTGTGTGTGGGGTTCTAGTTTTTTACATACTCCTTAGGAAATGCAACTGACTTTATACCAGTGCCAAACATCACTAGGAAAGCCCATCCTCGGTTAAGCCGTGTTTACTTGTGAGCTTACTCTTTCTAGAGGACTGCAAGGAAATGCAATTTAAGGCCAGGGTTACACCAATGCGAATTAACTTGGGATTTCGTTTCCGCTAACTACTATTGTAACCGAACGTCGGCAAGTTTTTCTACTCGAAAGCATATTTAACTATGTTGGTCAATGCCTCAGGAGTTTTGATGCATTTTGGGTCTGCAGAATGATTGACTCTGCCTTCGTTAAGTTTTATTATGTGGACCATGACGACCACCTAAATGCAGACTTTGTTCAACATTTTCAACTTCTGGGATATATGACAACTATTTATTCGAGATTTTGTATGCAATAACTGATTCGCTGCTATGTCCGTCAGAAAGTGACATAAATACATACATATGTGACATATGGTTCAACAAGTTTTCAGACATTTCTGTGTTGCATGATGGGGAGTCTGAAATTCAGTCGCCCTCATCGTACATATTCGCATTCATCGTAATTTATCTAATAGTCTGACATGCTTTTTTATACACTTTAACGTATGTACTAACGTACAAAGCAAATGAGCCTCTGACAGTGAGTCCGGCTCTAGATTCACTGAGCGGTTTCTTTGGTCGAAGTCTGAAGTCGCGATCGGTGTGTTATTAATTTTTATGGTGCTGGCACATGGCACATCAGGCGTCTGCCTCACGGACTCCACATCATATGCAACCCGTGCCTCAAAACTACATTTGGCACAGCTTCAGGACCACAACTGTGTCCTGGATCACCTAGCCTTGCTCGTCATAGGCATCCCACAAGTACAAACGGCGAGCTATACGCCAAATAAAATAGAAATTTTGTCATTGGAAACGAAATCTTCAAGCAAGCGAATTAATACTTTGCTATCAGAGCTTTACTGGCGAATGTCTCTGCTCTGTTCCCCGTCAGCCGACGTAAAGATGGAACATGTCACAGACTACAGGACACAGTGGACCAGACCTATTCCGGTGAAAGGGCTTGGATACCACTGGGATTCGCAATTTAAAAAAAATCTTGCAACATATAAATCGTTCTAGGGCGCGATTGGTGCTGGAACCCGTTGTTAGTACAGCCTCATATCCTAATATTTCCCTTTTTCTAACCTGTTTGTTCGAGGAAAGTCCTGTGGCTAAGCAATTTTTCTCCAAGATTTACAAGATTCAGGACATTTAGTGGTACTCTACAGCAGTAAACCCTACAGCAAACGTTTCATCTGTGCAAACTCTTTGTTAAGAATCTCAAAAAATACAGTGCTTTCACTGTAGACAGCCGACCGGCCCAGAATCGTCAATGTTGGGATCCAAGCACGATCCGAATTATTTCAATTATTTTATAGAATGCACGAGGGCCCATCTTCCGATGAGCACGAGTAATACCGGAGGAAACAAGTTGTTCACGAGATGGTGGCATGGGTATAAATGTTTATCAAAGTTGTATATAGGTTTATGAACGTTTTACCACATTAAAACTAGACATTTCTTCTCACTACAACCTAGTATGACTGGTTAACAGTAGAGAAGTGTTAACTGGATCGTCACTCATCAGCTGAATTATGTATGTTAAGATCACAAAATAATATATTAGCTCCTAAAACCGATGGGTGTCTTTCTTTATTAGGTGTTCTACATAACTAACAACCATGAGTGAGCAGTCCTTTATACAACCCCCTCCCCCTCCAATGGGCCCTACTCCGTTTCAAAAGGTGCTGTTAAAAAATCGTTTTCTAACCTTGGTCCCCGCAAATATACACGCTTGCCTGCCCAGGGGCATCGCTGACTTGAGGGTGTTAGTAAGGTTTCATCAGCTAATAAAATGTCTCTTTGGAATTGGGAGGCCTGGTTTTGTTACCCAGTCTTATTTATCGTTTTATGTTAAAAAATCATAACTATTCCAATATTCACTGTATTTTCTCTGTTTAGGCTGACTGGGTACTTGCGTCGGCCTTGCCGGGTCAGTATATTAAAGAAACCGAAAAGGCAAGAAAATATAAATCGTAAGCTCGATTATATCGTCTCATAAAGTTTCGTTTAGAAAAAAACTTTCCTCCTCTTCTTGATGTCGAATTCTCATCAAAGATTGCCAAATATGCTTTCAGCATTGTCGCACATAAGCAGCTAACTGGAATAGTCTGTTAGTATTTGGTAAAGTTCCCTAAATACATTTTCGAAAGACTCGAAGATCTGACTTGGCAGTTCGACCGTCGCAACCGACGGTGTCTACCGTGTGCTCCACAGCCAGATGAAGGTGGCATGCTGACTTGCGCGTGAATTAGTTTATCGTGAGTGTGGACACAACGGGGCAGGCTGCGTGGACTGAGTTAGGGCGTCAGTTAGGAGCCTTCAAAGCCACGGTGCTCGGCGCATCACGATAGTCTCAGACTCGGACGATACATTCAGCAGAGCTGCATAGAGAAAGAGCCGAGAAACACACTTCCGACTTGCGTGGGAAGTGTGGGTGCTGATGGGGGCAAGCGTGATGGTGTGATGTAGCATGCGATTGTCCACCGCAGGATTATGTGAATGCGCTTGTGTCCTAATAGACCCATACGCTGAGTAAATGTGTAAGTGCAATGAGGGCAGTTGAGGCGGATGAGGTGAGTGTAGGTTGGCACTTCAGACTCTAGTTCGCCTGTCTTTGTGCGATGGATTTGCAAGTGATCGACCAGAGCGATGTGTGAGGTGAATGTACGATCGCAATGAGGACAGGTGTAAACCGAGTCCACATAGCTGGAAGTGAGGATGCCGATATTTGAAGGTAATAGGACGTCGGACGTCATCCCTTCGGTGGGAAGAGGGCGTGAAGACGTGCTGCTGGTGGTGTTGGTCGCTGCAGCCGATGCTGGGGTTGAACCGGGCGGATAGTGGCGGCGGGGCAGCGACAGTGTGATTGGCGGTAACGAGGGTGGCGGTCGACGCGGGATTTGAGGCAGGGACGAAAGTAGGAGAAGAGGTAGATGTTGTCAGGCTGATGACGCATTGAGTCCAAAGGAGTCCAACAAGACCGATTCGTGCGCGGAATGCACGGTGGAAGCACGGGAATGTTGGAAGCGGCGGATGGCTGGCACTGAGGAGGCGAGACGCTTTTGATTTGCGAGCCTCCCGATGGGCTTTAACGGCAGCCATCCGATTTGCCTCGCAGACGATTGTACTAGTCTTCACTTCTCTTCCCCAGACCCATCTGTCCTGGACGAGGTCCTCTCCAGTTTCTGGATTGATATGCAATCGCTTAAGGGAACTCTTCAGTGTGTCCTTGTAGCGTCGTTTTGGGCCTCCCGATCGGTGGCAACACCACCATAGAAGAGTTGTTCCGGCAGTCGTGTGTCTTTCATCCTCACAAAATGGCCTCTCTAACGTAGCTGCAGTTGTCTAAACATGGCGTGAGTGCTAAAGATGCCGGTTTGTTCTAGAAATTCCGTGTCGGAGAGCCTGTCTTGCCATCTCAGCTTTAATATTCTACATAGACAGCTGAGATGGAAGTATTTAAGCTTCTTGACATGGCTGGAGTAGACGGTGCAAGTCTCCGCTCCGCAGAGAAGTGTCGTCAGGACGACGGCTTTTTACATTCGGAGTTTGGTAGTCAGTTAGAGGCCATGACGATTCCACACGGAGTTTTGCAGCCGGCCGAAGATTTGACTGGCTTTGGAGATCCGGTGAGCAACTTCATCGTCGATTCTCCTGCTGTCGGAAAGTGTGCTTCCGAGATAAGTATAATTGTACACGGTTTTGAGTTGGCGGTCGTCGACAGTGCAATGTTGCGTGTTGGGTGACGGCTGGTGCATGACCATCGTTTTGTCTGTGTTGGTAGTCAAGTTGAAATTGACGCACCCGGCGGTGGAGGGGTCCATGTTCCGTTGTATGTCCACTTTGGTCGTGGTGTTGAGCGAGAAGTCGTCGGTGAAGAACAGATCGTGGACCGTGGTCATAAATAGCCCCGTTCGCGCCTGCACACGCCTGTTGTTTAGAAGACGCCCGTCAGTTCTGTGGGCGGTCCGTATCCCAGGGGGCCATCACGTAGACGTTCATCAGCATGGCAGAGAGCATGAGATTGAAGAGGGTAGGCACGAGGACGCACCCCTGCTTCAGTCCGTTGGTCACTGCGAATGCCTCTGAGACAGCTCCACTGTTCGTGAAGCGCACCATTATCCCGTCGTGGAGCTGACGTACCGTGTGCATGAATCTTTTAGACTAGCCGAATTTCTGCATGATTTACCACAGTCCCTCGCGATTCACTGTATCAAAGGCCTCCGTCAAGTCCACAAAAGTAGTATAGAGATGGACTCGCGTCCGCGGCACTTCTCATGAAGCTGATAAGTGGCAAACACCATGCCCGTGGTGTTCCGGTGCCGTCAAAAATCACATTACCTTTCCGAGAGGAGGCCTTGCTCGAGAAATCCGTTCAGGCGATTGAGAAGGGTGCGGGCGAAGATCTTCCCGGCGATGTTGAGTGGTGAGATGCATCTGTGATTGTCACAGACTTGCTGGTTGTCGTTGCGCCTGTAGAGGTGAACAATGGTCACGTCCTTGAAGTCCTTAGGAACTTGTCCACAGCGTCACATGTCCTGAAATAGCGTCGTGAATTGGTCTATCATGGGTGGCTGACGTGCTTGTAGATTTCGACTGGGACTGCGTCGGAGCCCGACGCTTTTCCGCTGGAAAGTTGTTGCACGTCACGAGTGGTTTCTGAAAGGGAGAGTGGGAGGTCCAGGCCGGCGTTGATTTCCACTTGGGAAGCGTGTCGGTGGCGGCATCGGAGATTGTGGACAGATGGTTGAGGAGGTTTCAGAAGCGTTCGGCCCAGCGCTTCAGGATCTGCGAATTCTTACTTAAAGTCTTGATCCATTGGAGCTAAGAAGCAGTGCAGTACCTTAGGGCGGGGCGCCGTAGATCACCTTGATTGCAACGTATAAATTTTTTTATGTTGCTGCGTTCGGCGTATCCCTTGATCTCCTCGGCCTTGCGAGTCATCCTGCAGTCCGGAATTTCTTGTAACCGTTCCTGCTCTAGGCGGCAACATTGGTAGAAGGCCGCTTTGTTCGCATCGGTTGGGCGGTCTAGGCAAAATCCGTTCAGCCTGTTCTTCTCGGCCATCAGGTTACTGATGACTGCGTCCTTTCCGTCAAACTTATCCTGGTGCTGGCGACGTGAGCACCTGAGGACAGCCAGGGCGGTCGAGCGAACAGCGTCCCGTAGTCGGCACCATCGAGTCTCCACGGAGGCCTTTTCATCGGCTGCTGGCAGGTCTCCCAGCCGCTGGGTCAGTCGATTACTAAAATACAAACGGTGAGCAAGCAACGACAACAGAGTAATATTCAGCTTGCCCGGGGGTTGCTTACCTCGTGGTCTCCTGTGGGCCTGCAAACGGAGTTCCATCTTGAAGATGGCGAGGCCGTGGTCCGCCCAGCCATCGGCGTCGCAGATCGCCTTGATCATCAGCACGCCCAAGCGACCTTGCCTCCGAACGAACACATAGTCCAGCAGTTGCCAGCGCCGCAATCGAGGGTGCATCCAGGTGGGTCTTCTCCGCATCGGTGGGTAGAAAAATGTGTTGGCCAGCAAGAGGCAGTGTTCAGCGCAGGTCCGTACGAGAAAAAGTTCATAACCGCTGCAGCCGGCGATTCCTTGAGGACCCAGCACTTTCCTCCAGGCAGCGCAGTTTGTCCCGAGGCGGGCACTGAATTCACCGAAGATAGTCAACTTATCCCTTTTCGACAGATCTTCGTCAGACTTTGTCTTCGCCTCATCTGGATCGATCATTGTTGGGGCGTAGGCGTTGATGACAGTGGCGAGTTATCTAAAAGTGAACAAAACGTCCAGGCCACCAGA